AATTTTTAACAATTCATATAGCCTGCAGTTGGTAAAAATAGTAGTTAGTTTCTCCAATGATGTTTAGAAGTTCTTGGTGCAAACCTGTACATCATTGGTGAAACTGAGAGCATTCAGTGTATGAACATGAATTGTGAATTTCAATGCTTTATAGGTTCATACTACAATTATACCTCCTATAGACGACAATGTAATTGAAAAGCAGAACTGTCCATAGACGACAATGTAATTGAAAAGCAGGGCTGTCCATAGACGACAATGTAATTGAAAAGCAGGACTGTCCATAGACGACAATGTAATTGAAAAGCAGGACTGTCCATAGACGACAATGTAATTGAAAAGCAGGACTGTCCGTAGACGACAATGTAATTGAAAAGCAGGACTGTCCGTAGACGACAATGTAATTGAAAAGCAGGGCTGTCCGTAGACGACAGTGTAAATGAAAAGCAGGGATGTCCATAGACAACAGCTAGTCGATTCACGTACTAGCATCTTCACTCCTGTCACAGTATTAGAAGGAATAGCCAACTTTAAAATACAAATGAAATAACATACTGGGTACAATCAATTGTCAAATGAACACCAGATCCAGCTGGTTATTTATTGAAAAACAAAATGTATTCTAAATTAACAATTCTATTTTTAGTTTTGTTTTGTCTATAATTTAAAATTTACAGACTCGTTGACACATAAATTAGAAATGTTTTCCTTGTATTCTACAATCCAGTAGTGTTTGTATACCTTGAATAAATATAATTTTGATACTAAATAGCAAATTGTCCTTGAATATAATAAAATAAGTGATATTTGTTGTGTATTATGTACATATTTACATCAAAACACTAATAATTTTTATCTAGCAATTCGTGATTTCTATATTGTTTACCCAGTTGAAAACATTACAATCATTTGTTTACAGTATATTATGATGTGATATATTACATGTGTACCCGTTTGTACGGCAATTGTATCAACTGACCCCCCCCCCCTGTAAGCATCATAAGGGTTTTTGAGTTTTGTACAGTTCACAAGAAATATTATTCAACAGACCCAGCAACAGTGTTTCTGTCAAGTGTATTATATAGCTTTAGTGCTCCAATATTTCCGAATTTGTTGCCATACCAACTGCTTTTGCCCAACAATTGGTGACTTTCCGTCCACTGTGACATCTTGTATAATGAATTAATGGCATGGACCGAACGTTTTGTGATGATACACAAATCATTTGATTTTGAACTAGAATTTTCTTTTAATGCCCAGAAAGTGATCCTTCAGAGGGTAATATGGTGTTGAGATATTCTTCCTTGACCATCAAATTATATAGGACATTATTGAGAGCGAAAAAGCCTCAAAATACTTTTATGTTTGTACAATCTTACATGATGACCTTTGATTGTTTTGTTTCTACGTTTTCACGTATAATGCAGGATGTTGGAATGAATGGAAAATTCTCTATTGGTGAAGTTGCATGTATAATTATTAGATTAAAAACTGATACAGCCTTTGAAAGATAATATACAAAGATAATATGGAATCATTTACATGTAAAATAACATCTTAAATATGATATAAATTTTACAAAATAAGCTTTGTAAATGTACAATATCAAAAATACTATTTACATTTTTGTACAATATAACGTAAAACAGGAAATGTAATTTAAATAATATTAACCTGTGTAAACCAAAGTGATGTACCTTTTGTGATTTACAGAATTTACAGGAAACAAGATGAATCCAGTCAGAGGTATTTTGGTAAGTAAATTAGAAGTAATCTGAGAAATTAGTGGTCAGTTTATTGACTGGATCCCAGTTGGCATAGGGTTTGGTTTAGACAAGTTTTACTGTGGTACCATACTTGCTCTATTAGCTAGTCACTATTTCAAGCCGGTGTCGCAGTTACTGGTATACTGCCCTCAATGGTACTTATTATATACAGGGACACAGACTGGAGAATCTTGGCAGCAGTGGGTTTGTGTATCTCTGTTGTGTACCGCTAACCAATCATGGTAGTTTTAGTTATTATTCGTCATGCAATTGATGTGCCGAGAAGGCAGTGTCGTGGCAATAATTGCTAAATAAAACAGTTGTGTTTAACTAGATCATGCACAGAGATACGAGTAAGAGTACAGTAGATGGAATATAATTTCTACTGAGGTACAGACTTGTCGTTTGAATAAATCTGTAAAAACAATAGAGCCGAGTAAGAGCAGCAGCCAAGGACTAGAATCGAGTCTATTAGTACTATACGCTTATATAAATAACAGAAATGTGTTTGTCTTGTGTGCACTTTTCACAAAGATGTGCTTCTATTAGGTCAAATACAGTTTGGTATAGGAATGTCAATTCTCTCCACTGTATTGAAGGAACATACCACACTGCTGTTTACATTTCTTTTTCATTATATGGTTAAATGATCTTAAGATACTACACAGGAGGATGCATTATCACCATAATATTCCTGTGTATCGTCAGTTGACAGTTTTGGAATACCATCAAGTTCCTTTAAATCTGGTAAAGTCTTGAATACTCTGAAAAGATAACATAATATTATACGTGTTAGTTATAAATGCTTCATTCTGTATAACGCGGTTGAATAAGGTAAATATACCATATAGTATTTTTTTGTGAAAATGCCAACAATTTTTTTAATTGACATTTTTCAATGTTTCGTTTCGCCTATTTTAGAACCGAATTAAAGAGTTTCACTCTTCCCCGGCGCCTAAATTAAAGATTTTATATTGCCCAAGAACGTGTTTATGTGGAGTGGTGTCAATGTAGAAGATAGTGGATAAAAATTAAAACTGCATTAATTACTCCACATATGCATATCTTAAAAGAAATGATGCATTTGGCTGCTGTATCATGAAAACATGACTGCGACATTTAAAATTTCGCATGTACCGGATTCTGCCGTAAATTTGCCCATTCCAAAAATCTCCCTTGGCGGTTTCACGGCTGGTGGGCCCTTATTTGGGGTTCAAATTTTCAAAAAAATATCATCAAATATGTTTAGGGGGCTTATATTTTCATTGAAAAATCCACCTAAGCCGATTTTCAACACCGACAGTTGGTCCACCCAAAACCAAAGAAACCATTACAGAAGCTATTCGAAAATTTTATACATTTTTTTCTTGCTGGATTATAAAGTAGACAATCACATTAACGAACCTCGTGCGCCAAATATAATTATATTGTTTCATTTTATTAGTAAAAGAAGTTTCAAATAAAAACGAACTGCAACTACATTGCTTAGTAACAAATGATCGCGGTATCGCAATCCGGTTATGCTGCGTTTTACAATTGTTGATTATTACCTAGTAATGATTATAATAACGTGCAAAAAGATAAATTTGTTGAATTGTTATGAAATACAAATAAATTTCAACTTGTTTCATCGTAAGCGAATGATTCCGATCACATTTTCTGCACTCAT